CAGACAAGTTCAAATGAGTGTAAATTGCAAATATATATTCATCTATACACATATATATATATATTGCAATTGTGTGTATATATCTAGTAATGAGCATGGGTGAGATGGCAATGGTTTGGACTGAAGGGGGGAAAGTCACCCGAAAGCACGACAGTACAGTTGAACTCGTGCTATTTCTGTCACCTTGAACACTTTGAGATTCGTGAACATGAACTGATCTTCGTTCTATCCTGAAAGAAGAGAGCCCGGAACTATAAATAGCAAATGTTAGCGAGAGTCCCTTCATGGGCCGGGAGACTAACTTTGTGGTCAGTGCGACAGTATCCAGTATCTCTCAGAGATAAGGGCACATTGTCTGGTTTAAAACCATTAGCACCACTGTGAATAAGCCTCTTTTGGATATATACGCCAAGAACATTCAATTAGCCTTCAAAGTCAGTCTAATTCATTGGAAATAGAGCAGAGCCTGAAAAAAAAGCCTTTGCATCATGTCCCAGCTTCTTCTTTTTTTTTTTTTTTATTGGAGGCAGTGGTTCATATTCAGAAAACACTTGTGAATCCAAGATGACAGAAATCTCATAAGTGCTTGTGGTTTCAGGGTGGTGGTTTTCCCACGACGGATGGGAGATATTTGTTTGGCCATTGCCTAGCACTTGCCTCAAGATTCAAGTTTAAATGGATACGGTAGTACACTACAAATGTCAACACCTTCCAGGTTGACTTTTTTTCTTTTTTGATTATTTTTTTTTCTTAAACCAAGACCCCTCCCCTCTCCCCGAATGGATAAGCTAGTCTACTAAGATGTGTAACATTCATCAGCTGTAAACTGCTGTCAGTTTTGAGATAAAATGAAATTACAGCAACAGAGCCATGCTACCTTAAAGTCCAAGCTACAGGATCACAAAACAATAAAGGAGTCAATTTTTTATATATATCTTGTGTGAGGGAAAATGGTTTCATTTCAAGCTTCTTCTTTTTTTTTCTTCTTCTGTGAAAACGGGTTAATTATAGTCTAAGGGCGCCACAAGAGTGAACAAAAAGAAAAAAAAAGGAATATGTTTTATTCTTGTTGCACTGTTACATGTTTTTCAGATGAAACGGCAACAAAATTGGAATTGACTACAGCTCCTAATGAGCTTCTCGTGTCGATTGGTACGCGGTTTGTGTTTGTGTTTAGTATTCAATAAAAAACATATTCAGATGGATTTAAGGAATAATGCTGCAAATAAACAGGAGGAACACTTTCTTTAATCCTGTCGGAATCAAAATTAAAGCACATTTAATGATTGATTCCTGGTATAATTACTGCTTCTCTACGATTAAGACATTTTCACACACTAACATATATAAATGTGGGAAGAATTAATACTTGGAATAGATTATTTTTAGATTTTTCTACACTTTTAATCAATTATTTCTCTTGTTTTGTCCAATGAGTATCCAATTTACTAAACATATGGGCACAGGCATTTGCACTAACTGTGTTTTTGTCTTAGTAACACAACATCCAGTCGACTCACTGGTTTCACTTCAGGATGTTTTGAGCACCAGCATCCCTGACAAAGCCGCCATGTGCTCTACACGCTGTATGGAATCTGACAGACTGTACTGGTTGGGAAGAATAATTACACTAATGCTCATTTATTAACAGTAATGCAATGCTAACAGTACTCAATTTGAAGATCCAATGAGGTGAAGTGAATTAAATAACTGATATAAAACACAGATTACGTGTAATTGAAATTACACTGAAAACTGGCTTCCTAATAGGTTTGTTTTTGCTTGAAACAGCTGAATTGTGGGCAGCCTCGGACGCGCTATTTGGAGGCATTTTAAATTCGGTTTTTAATAGAATCTTTTTTTTTTTTCTAGCCACAGCTTCAGGGTCCGGCTCAGGACGTGAATTTAACCATGTATTAATCAGCACTCGACACACTCGGCATCCTCTAACACCTGCTAATATTCCTTCAGTCTCTAATGCCTCTGTGGTGTGAGCGACATTGATAAGAGATTAAAACAAAAAAACGTAGTTCCCCAGAATCTAAGATTAAAATCAGGATCGTTTTTTTTTTTTCTTTCGTGAGCAGTTCTGAGAGAAAAATGAGAGATCAGAAAGAGTATTATCTAAAAATAACCATGCCAGAGGCAGACGGGATATTTCCAAAGTGTACAAACATTAAAAGATAGAAGAGATTCTTCCAACAGCTCTGTGACTGATATTATGACTATTGTGGTATGCTTCTTAAAAAAATATGATTTTTTTTTCTTTGTTTTTTACATAAAATCTTTTTTTTTTCTTTTTTTTGTTTCATGATTTAAGCTTGTGTCCCTCTTAAAAAATAATCAAAAATAAAAGTTTTGCATATCTAGCGTTAGCATTTAAGGTAGTATGGCACACCCCTTTAAAAACATTCAAGGGTGGGGATCCAAATAATGCCTTGTGTACAATTCCATCTTACAGCAACTATTTCTCCATTGTTCATCCATGAGAGCTTTGGTTAGCTGAAACCATGTGAGAGTGGCAAAACCGAACCAAAAAATAAAAATAAAAATAAAACATACAGGGAATAAATTACAATGAACCTCTAACAAAATAATTGTCTGCAAATATCAGAGTAACATGATCATTGAGAGAAAGGTCTATCTTGACTGGTCCTAAATCCACTATTCACTACAAGTATTATATTAATGAGTCCTATATAACATCTACGTTGTAATTACAGGAGATAGAAAAAGAGCGCGAGAGGGAGAGGGGGTAAATATGAGAGAAAGGAGAGGTAGAGCAAAGGGAGAACAACAAAGAGCACTACACTGGTATCAAAGACAGCACTCTGTTTACAAGTTAACTGTGATTTCTTTACACACTAATGAAATACATGAATGATCAACAAAAGATAGTAGGATCTCTGAGGATGGGGAATGGAAAGAGAGAAAGTAATGGATGCACAGTACATTTTAATAGTATATTACAATTATTAATATATAAACCACAAAGTATCAATAAAACTCTGATTAAACTTGAAATCAGCAAAGAAGCATCTTTCTTTTTTTTTCTTTTTTTTTTTATAGTTTTGTATTTTCTTTTACATTTGAACAGTACAAGGGTTTTTTTGTCGTTTTTTTTTTTTTCCTCTTTACTCGTTAAATTATTACTTGATCACACCTCCATGTCATTTTTACTTTAGAAGTATCCAGCATATTTCTTTACCTGGTTGTTTTGAAAAGAAAAAAAAAAATCAGACAACAAGTGGGTAAAATGAAAAACAACAACAAAAATAAAAACATCTGCAGCGGCATCGATGACTTTAAAACCCAGACTGCACTCTGGAGCATAATATTATTATTATTATCATTATTAATAAATCGTTTCATGAGTGAAACCATTAACCACACGTACTGTGTAAAACCCGGTGCAGCCACAGATAGTGAATAATTCAGTGTCATCTTTTGACCCTGTATAAATATCCTCAGATGAGACGTGGGTCTAAATATATAAAGAAATCCAAGTGTACACTGCAACACATCAGTTTCCCAATCTGTTAATTCACCTCAAAACACTGAAGTGTTTGTCTAGTCGAGAATACATTAACCCCCGAAATCCTTCATACTATCCCAAAGCACAGGGCCCTTTCTGTTTTTTTTTCTTTTTTTTAAAAAGCCAACATATACATGTGCAAATAGGAAAATGGCCTGTACTTTACTACTCACAGTGCAATGATTACTTGCTTAATTACCTTTCAGTGTTTTCATTTGTTTTTGCCACTAGAATAAATTAAAAAAACAAACCTGCCAATGATTCCACAATAGAGCTCACAAAGGCTGAGGTATGGTATCAAAATGTTTACTTTTCCTAATTCATTCAAAAAAGAACTGATTCAGAGAACAAGCAGTACATAAAAAGGCTCGAGCACAGAGCCCAGGTATCGTGTTCCAAAAAAGAAATGAATCAGGAACAAGCAGGATGAAACAAACATTAACGTACAGCTAACAAGTTCCTCTCAAGAGTATAAAAGTGTCAGGATGCACAGAGCACTGGAAAATGCCTGGTTCAAGTTCTAATCTTCACATCTAAGTACAGTGTGCTTTGGATTAAATCATCTTTTTTTTTTTTGTATTATTATTATTTTCCCTCCCCCTCCCCCGTCTTCTTCCTCTGTCTCTTTGAAATGATACGGATATCTTTAACAGTTAGACAAAAAGATACCAATCAGGCTCTTCTTCTTCTTCTTCTTTTTTTTTTTCTTTTTTTAAAATTATTATTATTATTATTACTTCTCAAAACTGTGTTGACTTAACTCACCGGTTTGTAAATTTTGCTGGTATGACACTTGTAAAATTATTCAGCTTCAGTATTTACAGAGCAAGTGTGTTCTGTTTGTCTGTGGGCTTCGTTATACCGTCTTCCAGCAGAAAAAGTAGATTAATAACTGTTTACAGCTTTTTCTTCTATTCACACGCTATAACATGTTCTTTTGACACACCATCACAAAAATATGCTATTCTCTCACTGAGTTGGTTATATGCAGTGACTGGAATAATATGTACAGCTACATTTCTTTTTCTCAAGTTTGAATTCACAATGTAGTTATATGAAATTTGTTATAGCATATATATATATTTCTAAACAACAAAAACAACACTTATAAAAAAGGACCATAAAAATATTGGAGTCCTCTTTGTATTGCCCAAAAATAGGTAATTATGGTTAACAATGAGACATCACAAGAAATAAAACAGCTACTAAGATTTATTACTTAGATACCTTCTTTAAATTTTCCTTAAAATTGATTTTTTTTTTT